TTTTGAATAACTAATATATATACAAAAATAATACTTATTTAATTTATTATTTATTACAATTTGTGACAAATTCCTTTGGTGCTTTAAACTGCAAATAACACTTTCGGACTAACTACACACGTACGCACACGCAGTAAGCAAACAAATGCCAATGTAAAATCTTCAAAAATTGTTTTTATTTATAAAAATTTCACAAATTTATGCAAACCGCAAAAACTTATTAATTATGCTTTCACTGCGTAAATTAAAATTTAAATTAAAATCAATGATGAATTACAGCAAATGTAATTTACGAACATAAACATGTTAATTCACAAGAAATGTGTGAACATCGAGGCGTAGTCACTTGAAGAGGCTACCAAAAGATGGTTTCTCGAGTTAGAGAACAATTTTTTTAAAAAATGTTTAGGAATTATTAATTAAAATTAATGTAAAATGTTTGCAAAAAAATATAAAATTTATTTTATTTAAAAAAAAAAAAGAAAATATATCTAATCGATTCACTTAAATATGAAAAATGCTAAACTTTAAGCAAAGTTTTTATCTAAGCCGAGCTGAACTGCACTCCCGTACCGATAAAGGAAAACTGGTTAAATGAACTTGGCTGCAATTGCATCGTTTACATTATCCATAAAAAGCAACGACTAACCAACGACGCACCGAAGCAGAATAAATAAGAGTCAAGTTTATGATGAGTAGGTTTGGTTGTGACTTGTATGGAAAGAGTTGCATTGTAGAGCAGCAATGTGGACTATGTAAAATGCACTACTTAAAATTTTTATTTCAAATATAATACACTTTAGTGACCACTAAGAATCAAATTTAATGCAGTTTATATAAATGTACTCTTCTGGTTAAAATTTATTCTTTTTTCGTGTATGTTAAGTGCAAATATCAAATCATTGATATTAATAAACTCTTTATTTCTTTTTGTATAATCATTTATTTGTTAGAAATACTCATAAACATAATAATCCAACCCATTTTAAGAAAGTATTAGAAATAATAGGCCTGTTCCACGAGCTACTCTTAGTAACTTTGAGTAACACAAGTACGTTGCACTAGGAAATTTCCGAGTAAATGAGAGCATCTGAGAGAGCATAACATCCCTGTCGAAATTTGAAAATGTTACATAGACTTTACTCGTATATCTTATTTCAAGTAGAATTTTTGTAGATGTGTGAATCAGCTGTTTGGGTTTGAATTTGAATTTTTGTATTGTTTATTTACGCGAAACTGGTGTTCTCATCAAGCTTTACACAAAACTGTTCTATGAAAATCTGTGTAAAGAGCGTAATTTGGCACTTTATTTGTGTTACGCACTCAGTTTGTACTTTACTTGTGTTTTACTTGAGTTTTACTACGAGTAGCTCGTGGAACAGACCTAATATGAAACTAGAGAAAGAGAGTAGACTATGTTTGAACGTTTTCAGTACCGCTGATGTTAAAGAATATGCAAAAATACTTTATTTAACAATTTAAAAACAATTTATAAATTAAAAAAAAAACATAATGGAATATTTAAAATTTGATTTACTAAATTTTATTCAACTCCACTTTTTGTTGTAAAAGAGAAATTTCTCTTATTACTTATATTTCATTAATAGAAAATCAAGAGAAACTAAAAAAATGCAGTAGTAAGTGAAACTATAAGAAAAATACAGCTGATGTACAACGTAATGAAAGTCAGGAAGTTAAGATAAAACGATTCTATTAAACTTTTATATAACAACCTTATTTATAATGCGTTGTAACTAACGATGAGTAAGTTTTACTCACTTGATATCTTTCATAAGTAATTGTTTTTTGTTCTCTAATGCTTCGTATTTTAGTTTTTATTTAAAATATATCACCATAAGCTTTTTCAAGAATAAACTTTTACATAATATAATACTAACATAATACATACTATAATGTCTTCAATGGCCTTTTTTGATATAATTTTTACGTATTTTATTTTGAGGGACGTAGAATAGAATTTTAGTACGTAGAATAGATAAATTTTATCTATGATTCGTACTTAAAGGTTAATATTTGGATTAAATTCAGACGTATGCGTTCTGTAGCTTGCTCGAATAATATGTAATCTAGAAGGCTAACTGTTATACAGTTGAAGTTGAAGCAACAGCTGTGTGAATGTTGCGACTTTTTAGTCAGGAATGTCATTGTCACTTGCTAAAGGCAGTTAGAGCAATAAGTGGGTCGTGAAAAAAAGCGGTCTATATAAGTAGAAAAAATTTGAAAATCAAAGATTTTGTAAATAAAAGAAGAGTACTTTATGAGTACAATATTAAATTTTAGAAAATTAAGTATAAATTCCGTTTTCTATGACATTTTAGAATCGGGAACATGCCACGAGAACAGTAACTACAATATGTTCAGGATCAACAATACTTACTCGTAATTTTTTTTATTAACAGACACGATTTTCAGATATGTTCACATAAATACCTCTCGCGATTATTAGATTAAGATCCATTTCTGAATTGTGAAACAAAAATCAAGATAGGAGAGAGGAAGAGATTAATTAGTTGATTGTTGGTCGTATTGAACTAATTTTTCACAAGTGTAGCGCACCACAACTGCAATGTTGGTAATGATGCATGACCATTGTTGCATAGGTACCAGTTAAATAGCGGCAATGGATTTCAAATAAAAAAGCAGAGACGACTCGGGATAGTTATAAAAACAATGTCTGTTCAGTGAACTTATTTTTAGATTTAGAACATTCGAAAGTTCTGCGTTTTTTTCTTTTTGCATTTAGATTTTATTGGATTGAGTGCATAACCATTTATGGTTTATAATTAAAGAACAAAAAACTAAAATTTATTCAAGATTCGATAGAACATTGGGGGCGACAGTTTCAATTGGTACCGGTGTAACGCCTAAGCCTATTGAGCCAGAAAATTATTTATATGTGCGCACATATCACTGTAAATAATGTTATGCAGTTTGGGGAGAAGATAAACAAACAGTTTGTATCTTTTGTATCTGTTATATCTGCAGCGACAAAAAGATATGACAACTTTTGCACGAACATGTTTTTCTTCCACTATATTTATTTAATTAAGTAAAAAAATAATAGTGTTAAAACATATTATACGGGGGTCGTATGTATAGTTTAAAATAGTGAAAATATTGTATTTGTAAAAGATGGAAGTGTTAAAAAATTATTAATTATGATTGCCGTGAAAATTATACTGAGTCAATTTAGCTTAGAATATACCAATGTGCTATAGATCTTCTTGTCTTCAAACTTTCGTTCAATTGTTCTTCTGTACAAATAAATTTGAGCACGATTCATTAATGCGTAGAGCGCATCTTTTTTGGTGGCAGTTGGTGTCAGTTACTCTAAACTCTGTTAACAACAAACTCCGTTGAAATATTGTTTCAAACAACCACTCTGATATTTTAATTTCTAACTTGGACCCGAATTTAATTTCCCTGTCACGTGGATTTTGCAACGAATTTCTATAAATTTGGCTATTTTCAGCAAAAATTTTCCTTGATGTTATATTCAATATACCTTCTAGAGGTATCAAATTTAAAGTAAAAAATTGTTTGCATTACATTAAGACTGAAAAGTTTTCGGAAATTCTCATTTAAAATTCGCGCGCTGTATATTTTTCGATATTTTAAGTTTATGTAGTTTGGCAGCACTGTCCTTAATTACTATGCCAAAAATGAGCGCGATCTGTCAGACAGTTCGTTTACGGCAGCTGTTGAAACCAGTTCCCCTCAGTAGTGCGTTGCGAAATGTCTTCGACGGTCGTACGACCGTCCTGGAAGGCTTTGTACCACTCATAAACTTGAGTTTTCGATAAAACTGATTCCCCATAAGCCTTTTGTAGCATTCGCAACGATTCTGCACACGAAATTTCGTTCGAAACACAAAATTTGATGCAAACTCTTTGTTCAATATTTTTTTCCATTGTTTTTTTCGCAACGCCCTACTGAGGTGAACTGGTTTCAACAGCTGCCGTAAACGAACTGTCTGACAGATCGCGCTCATTTTTGGCATAGTAATTAAGGACAGTGCTGCCAAACTACATAAACTTAAAATATCGGAAAATATACAGCGCGCGAATTTTAAATGAGA